GAAGACTAAGCTTTTGTCCTAACAACGACTGAGATTATGGCTGGCGAGCATAAACAGGAAAGAAACTCACTCAAAACACGCACGAATTTGTTTGACAAAAGCACAATGTTGTATTTTATTGCGAGTGTAAACAAATATAAGTTAACACATTTGTCATTTTGCATTGACCCTCATTCACAAAGCAATCTAGTTTAAAATGATTCGCGCAGACATAGATGAATTTAGCTATATGGGGGCGCATTCCCTTAAAAAAAAAAAAAAAAAACTAATCCACTGAGTTGTAAGCGGTTGTAATAAAAACAAACATTGCCACATCACATGTGTGCTGCTTCTCACGCTGCTTCCAGGTGGTTTAGAAGAAAATTACTCAGAGTCGCCCCTTGTCGTTTCAAAGAATAGTACAATGTCAAGTGTGTCAAGTTTAAACGCCTCGTCCATTTGGACAGGACAGTCAGAGGAGGCTCAAGCTACAGAGCCAGGTGAAAGTATGAACAAGGCTTTAGTACACACTCAAAAAATATGTTAGCTTTAATTAACTTTTTTATGTCAACAGGCTTCACATAACTGGGTTACGTTAAACAACCATAATTGTTCATGTAACTGCAACATTATGGAATTAGGTAATTTTAAGCAATGAAGCAGTGTTAAAGGGACTCTGTGTAGATTTTTAGGTATTTTATTATCTGAAATCAATATTTTTATTCATAAATATGTCCTCAATGGTGTACAAATACCTCTGCAAATTATCTGACTTATCCTCGTAAATGAAGAATTTATTATCTTTATGTACATGGGACGGGTAGGTTCACGGAGGCTTCCATGTCCGTTCCACCATCTTGAAAACTATAATAGCAGAGAGGGTCAAAAAGTACCACCAGCCAAACGCGTTTCCACAACGCGTTTTCGTTCAGACTCAGAGCCATCGTCACGTCACATTGAGAGGCGCATTCCCTGCAAGTTTAAACGGCTGCATTGCACTCCTATGATTGCTGATTGCTCTTTTGCTCTATTATTTGTAATTGCGGACCATATTCCGAGTCACAGGAGAATGCATCCTCCTCTCAAAAAAAGGCCAGACTTGAACGAAAAAGGAAACGTGACCGGAGATTGCAAAAAACAAGGCCATTCATTTTTCCGTCATAAAATTAATCGGATATGGTTCGATTTTCTGCGTTTTTCGCATCCAGAGCCAGCATTTTGAGAGGTCTTTTGACAATTCAGGGCCGGGGGAGCTCGTCCTCAAATCATTGAACATTATGCGCCGTGCTTTCAGTTTCGGTTTTCAATTCGATCAAGTGTTTATGTTCTCTTCTCTATATTGGATTATGAAATTAATAAACCTCCCCTTTCAATCAGATTGAAATTTAGGATCGAATAAAGTGTGATTGAGCAGCCTATTCGATAACTAATGTATTATTTGGGCACAATATACACAATACATACACAATAACAGCCTAGCTGTTCTGTCTGCCCAGCGCTTCCACAGGGCCGCGCGCGGGTGTGTGTGTGTTTGTGTGTGTCCATACCTGGTCCATACCAGACACACTGCCAGTCTCCATTCAGAATCGATTGGTTCACGGAAATTGGTGGTCTTGTTTTTAATATGTGGCTCCAGAATCGCTAGCAAAGCATCGAACTGTCCCGCTGACATTCTGAGGTAAATTTTGAATCGCTCAGGATAAATTCGCAACTCCTTGATAAGGAACTCTCCTTCCTCTCGGCGCAATTTCAGGATTGGATGAATATTTTCTATTTCTTCTCTTTTCAATATGAGAGAGGGCAAAAATCATCCTCACTGCTTGACGAATCCATTTGGTATTTTTGCGTTTTTTCCCGCAAAGGTTTAATAAATACGCAACGGACTCGGTGTGCAAGGTTTCTATGCGTGACGAATTTTTAGGCTGACGTACAGGAAAATACGCATACGAAAATTTCGTACTCAGTGTGCAATGGCCTTAAATATCGGGATAGCGTTTTCAACCGTGGAAATAGCTAATGCAGCAGAAAGATTTCAGAAGAGACGCTGAAGTTGCCTGCTTTCTCCTCGACAGGTTAGTCAATGTTACAGTCTGACTTAATTTTTTTGTCATTGCTTGGTTGTGTAGGCTACTTTATTATATAGACAGTATAACATTTATAGGTAAAAAAGTTAAACAAGGTCTTTGATGAATAGCAGCTATTGACTACTTTAATCGCAGCTATTGTGAAGGAAGGTGCTAAAAACAAGGTTTGTAAGTTAATTCTTTATAACCTATAAATTCAGTAAGAATAGAGATAATGATTGTAAGAAAATATTGAAGAAAATATTGCTCTTTGTAAGATTTTCTGTAGCTTTTTTATATATATAAATGATCAATTAGCTAAAATTGTGATTTTGCTATGTGGATAAGATTGTACAGAGAATTAAAATTAATTTATACAGCTAGACACATAAATTGTACACATAAGTTAACACATAAGTTGCTGTTTTTTTTTAAAGTTACAAACCTGTTCACCCGGAGAAAAACTCGATGAAGTGTTACTACAAGACATCCTGTCATAGCATTTTTGGTACATAACGGCAACCGTAGATGCAATACGCACTTGAAAAAGCGAGGCGCTGGAGAGTAAAATTCGTTTGAATGCAAAATACTATTTAACCACTAGATGGGGGTATTTCCTACACAGAGTCCCTTTAAAGTCAATGAGATAATTAAGTGAATAATTGAGGGATGATTTGGTCATTATTGAAGACATCTGATGGTAACAAGCAATTCACTGAAAGAGAAAACCGAAATTTGCAAGTCACCATTATGGTTATCGGTATGTGTTGGGCTCTTGACCCTCACATCATTAACGTCATTAACAAAATTTTGTTTGGCTGCTTGAATCTCAACAATGGTGACAATTATCTATTTATTATTTAATATTAACAATATTATTGATCTGTGTTGTACTACTTTCATGTTATCACTGTGAAGCTGCTTTGATACAATCTGTATTGTGAAAAGCGCTATATAAATAAATGTGACTTGACTTGAATAATAAAGCATGTTGCAGTGCATTCTGGGTGCCACCAATCAAAACTCATTCATGGCTCCCATCATGCATTGCTGCATGAATAAATAATAAGCTTCTGTTAAGAGGTGATATGTATGTTGCTGAGATTCATATGCTAAATCCTGATGTCTATGTGTTCCTACATATATATGGAAAATGTCTTTATTTTTATTGATTTGATCATTTGGATTTCATGGCTAAAATTGATTGAAACTTAGAAATTGGGTTCTATATGAGTTGAGTGATTCAGGTCAAATGATTGTGAAATATAGATTATGTTAAAACATAACCAACACCATCAGATCACCTTTTCTATTCATTTATCTGACTGTTATAATACATGTACAGCAGCCAAACAAAATAAAGTTAATGATGTGAGAGTCAAGAGGCCAACTATAACAAACACTGATCACCATAATGGTGACTCAAACATTCCGGTTTTCCCCTTCAGTACTTGTGCTACCATCAGGTGTCTTCAATAATGCTCAATCATCACTCAAATATTTACTTAATTGTTTCATCAACTATCTCGTTTTTTTGTTTTTTTGTTTTTTTTTTAGTTCAGTACCTGCTGCTCTCTTTGTGGTTGATGATAATATATCATGTGCAAAAGTCTTAGGCAAGTTAGTATTTTCACCTCAATAAAATAGTTTTAAGACAAGTTATTTATATTGTTTGCTGTAGTGTGTCAGTATGATATTTCCAAACATTGATCTTGCCACTAATTGTAATAATCCAGTGAGTTATTTTTTTTTTTTTTGTAAGCACAAGGAGTCTGATATCAGCCGGTCTGATCCACATGGAGATCTGATCTTCCCATCATCGAGTCTGTCCGGGATCATATCTTGGAGACGTTGCCGCAGTTCTGGATTTTTTCTGTCTCAGTTTTTTCTGTTTCTTGTGACTCCTTGTGCATACAAAAATCTCACTGAATTATAATATTTAATGGCAAAAGAAATGTTTGGAAATATAAAATGATATTTCCTACTAACACACTATGACCAAATATATAAATAACAGGCTTAAAACCATTTATTTGGGGTGGAAATACAAACGTGCCTAAGACTTTTGCACATAACTATATATTGTTACCAGGAAATAAGATTTTGGTCTGCAAATATGAATGATGTGTACATAATTTATAATATAATAATAATTGATGAAACATGGGATTTTTTTGACATTATGAGGATGCTTTTTTGCATTAAAAATAAGACATTTGGAGGCATTAAAAATAATGTCACGATGTAAAAAAACAAACAAACATTGAAATTTTCTTATTAGATTTTTGGGGTCAAATATGACTTGGACATGTTCCAGACATATTCTGTGAGATTCGTGTACATGCATGTCTCTACTCATGTAGCAATTATATGCACTTAATGTATAAGCGTGTGTCTTTTCACCTAAGATAACGCATGTCACATTTTTGTCAACACTGTTTGCATTTCCCAAACAATGCAAATACATTATAATTCTGTTGAACCACATGTCCATATTGCCTCATTCCAGAAACAGAAACAGTTACAATCGGATGTGTTGATAGATGATGCCATGATCATGAAATGGTGAATGGTCACCTTGACTACTTAAGTCACCACGACTGACAAGAGAAACATGACACATCAGCAGCACATTGCAAACACGAGCCTCACTGCACGGAAACAGACGGAGGGGACAGAAAACGGGGACAGAAACATAGAGAGGCCAAAAAGAGGGCTCAGAGGGAGTAAAGAAGGGGGGGGGGGGAGAAAAAAAAAGGAAGGAGAGCCAGAAAGAAGACAGTAAGACATACATAAAAAGAATAGAATACAGAGACAAAGAGATAGAACAATAGTCGGAAGCATAATACAAGGACAAGGCAGACATCGGCGACTGCCGTTAGACAGGAGCTAGTCCCCCATGAGCACGAAATGGGGTGGGAAACTGGAAGACACAGCACATGGATGGAGGCTACTGACCTAGCCTGACGCCCTTACGGGACACCTGTGGAGGTTTCGAGGGCGCATCTTACGGGGGAGAAGGAAAAACAACATTTTTACAGACAGATTCTACAGCAATAGCCGTCAAATAACTGAACATATTTCGGGAAGAGGGTATGCGCTTGTCCTACATCATGAGAAGGTTTTTATTTTTATTTATTTTTATTTTTTTTGAAGGAGGAGGAGGAAGAGAGGAAAGCTGTATAGTTGTTTTTAATCGCTTAACACGCTTCGTGTCGTTTTCCGTGAGCCGAAAAAGGACGATAGCGTGGTTCAGTGGGCAGTGAGACCATGTCCATTAATAAAACTAACTGTACAATCCCTCCCAACACTGCAGTAAAGCAATCCCTGTTGGAAAATACAGTTTCAGCTGGTAAATGTGTTTGTGGTTTCTAGCTGGTCTATGCTGAAAATCCAGCTCAACCAAGGTAGCTGGTTTGTCGCTGGTTCAAGATGGTTCTTTCATGTTCCAAAAAATACATTTGCCAGTTCACTGGATTTTTCATCAGGGAAACATTTACCACTTAACATTTCATCTAAGGAAGCCCTGGTGCACTGCAGTGCCACTGGATTCTAGCTATTACAAAATTGCATTGTTGCACTACATAACGGGCAAACTTGTCAATTGCATTCTTTCAGAAATGGATATTTTTAACACTTGCACAGCCTCTGATCAAAATGACAACCATTGAATTAATCGATAACAGTAATAATGACATAAATAATATATATATATATATATATATATATATATATATATATATATATATAGGCTATATATATATAAAAACATAAAACGATTTGTGCATTCAGATTGTTAAGATGGCAAATCGTTTGGTGATTGAATACCGATAGACAACACTTGAGCTATGAAACAGGTGGGATTTTGGGGAGGGTTTGCATTGCAATAAAACACAGTGGAGGATATATGTTTCTCCAGCGGATCTGAAGACTGCGGTAGAGGCTTCGGGTGGGGGCTGTAGTCTTAAAAAGCATCCAGCACTGACCTGGTCGCCGGCGAACAGGTCTTTTCTTGCCGCTGCAGAAGCGGACTTTACTGAAGACCCCCAGAAAATGTCGCTCGCAGATAGAGCGGGGGTCTTTGCTGGGACTGGGGCGTCGTTTGGAGGTAGAGACCCGCTCGCTGTTGGATTCCCGCGCCTGGCGTTTCTGTCGGATCAGAGAACTGGCGATCGCAGCCATCTCGAGAAGTCAGTAAAACGAGCCCGTGCAGCTGTTAACGCAATAACTGAGAATAATGTATATAACGACAAGGAATTAAATTCAGACAGATTTCATTCCGATTCCCTGCGTGAAAAAAAAAAAATCCAGAGGATCCTGTGAATTAGGACTGAAATCTCATCCTCTTCTCAGACGATCTACTGGTGAAATTATATAAAGCACATTTTCCGCTCTCCATCTTAAATGCAAAAAATAAAAAAATATATACAGATAAATGAAAAAGACGCCCTATGTGAACGTGGATAACCTGTCACGCAGGTGTTCCAGGTGCCGAAGACAGCAGACGCGTGATTCCACCTCCAAGCGACTGCTACATGATTCACATGTCTACTTCATTCCTCATAACTTTGCTTGAATCCTGATAATAAACGGAGCCCATGGCACAAGAACGCGCGTTTTCAGGCACTAGAGTGGTAAATGTGAGTTACAAGTTCACTAAACGCTCTCCAAATTATTTTACAGCTCTTCATAGTTCTTCTGGTCGAGTTCATTGCATTGTTCCTCGCGTCGACATTTATTATTATGCTCAAAACGAATTGTAATTTAAAGGTCAAGTGTCCAGCACAACGAGAACTGTGCGAATCCGTGCGAAGCCATTCGAGGAATGTTCAATGTAAAATCGAGGCAAGTGCTGCCTGTGGTACACTGACAGTGAGACAGTCAATGGGCTCTCTCTCTCTCTCTCTCTCTCTCTCTCTCTCTCTCTCTCTCTCTCTCTCTCTCTCTCTCTCTCTCTCTCTCTCTCTCTCTCTCTCTCTCTCTCTCTCTCTCTCTCTCTCTCTCTCTCTCTACGCAATCATACGTGATTGAGGTTTGGATGAGGAATTTGTAGCGGTAAATGAGAGCGAACAAGTAAAGGAGATAAAAGACATTAATGAATTGGCAGAGGAGGAGTGTCCAACAAATGGTCACCACTGGTTCATTACGTATGTTTGAACGTGACATATCCCGTGACAGGGAACAATTTCAATTAAAATTCTGCTTGTCATTGCCTCTTGTCGCCAGATATGTGGTTAATGTATCCCTCCATCCATCTTTATATTAGGCTACTCGGCTTGAAAAACACACTAATGATAAAGATCATCCTCCTGTTTGTCACTGTTGTAATTGTTCAGTGTATTCGGTGCTAATGTGGCAGCCTATAATATTAAGGTCTGGCTAATCCAATCCATTAACCGCCCACACTGCAATCATTTTTTTTTCACAGGACTATGTCATTTTCATCCATTAACTGTTGTACAAAAATGTCCTACTAAATTTCCAAACTGCTATCCCGTCTGACAAAAAAAAAAAGAAGAAGTCGGGAATGCAGCCAGCTTACTGATTACCCTCCCATATGAATACCCTCTTAAACCCAGTGCTTTAGAAGACCTTAGCTCTTCAGTGAGACACTGTGAGACTACTGTTTGATTAGATGTATAACGACAACCCTCAGAAGATATTTAAACAGCATTTACTGATAAGAATGAAACGTTAAGTCTTGGAGGGCTAGATCTGCTACGTTGATGTTGCTATATAAGTGACGGCTACTGCCGAAACATGTACATAAATACAACGGAAAGACTGTGCACTGCTGCAAGGAAAGTACGGAGAACCCCTTATCTGGTCTAGGCAGGTGGTGCTGGGGAATGGGGAGGGCTAGAAAAATTCTAGTTGAGCTGGTTCGGGAAAGAAATGAATATGTTATGTAGATAGAACAAAGAGATACACACACACACTGACAAGTAGCACTGATGTAGAAACGTGTTAAGGCTATACTGCTGCAGAATACTAGTAACAAGTTAACATGCTGTAGAGATGTTCTACTTTAGAAATGTAGGCCTATCCAATAACACCAACTATTGCAATTATAACACCACAATGCTGCACTTATGTCATGCTTTGACTTTGTATCACTGAAGAGATACAGCTGGGTTCTTCAACTCCGGTCCTGGGGACCCACTTCTCGGCACATTTTGTAAAAAAAAAAAAAAAAAAAAACTTTTTGCAGACTTTTATTCAAGTACTTCTGTGATCATTTAAATATTTGTAATGCAGAAAGAAATAATGATACATGGTTGACAAGACTGTTTGTGAATCGTCATTGCCGAACCTTTAATCAATGTGTTTTAGGCGAACAAAGCAAACATTAAAAACAAAAATAGTATTTTCAAGAAACTGGGACATACTCTGCCAAGGTATAACCATCTTCCATTTTGCCAAGTGATCAGAGTTAAAAAAAAAAAAAAAAATGCTGGGAAATCACTGAACTTCACGACACGTAACATGACACAAAAGTGATAATTCATGTCTGTCACCTGCAAAACAATAATAACGTTTTAGAGAAGAAAAAAAATCATCCACGGATTTTCAAAGTTACTACATAGTTCCGACTTTCGAAACTATAGAAATATAGTGGAGTGAAAAGTATGATATTTGTCTTAAAGGGATAGTTCAATTTGAAATTAATTCAACAGTATTTATATCGTTTTTATCTCTTGTAACCACAGCCACAAAGTGTGGACGTGGCTGTGGTTACAAGAGGTAAAATCTATATAAATACCGTTCATTTTCTCACACAAACCACTTGTTTTCGTCTTAGGCCATCGATGTGTACTTATATTTACGAGTCATTGAATCATGTTTAATTTGGACTTCTCTGTGCATGCTCTTTGTGGTGGACCCCATAGACCTCCATTATATGACTGATAGACACAAACGGTTTGACCTAAAAATATAAAAATTGAAATACTGTGGAAACAAAGACACCTACATCTTGGATGCCCTTGAGGTAAGCTTAAACATATCAAAAATTAATTTCAAAGTGAACTATCCCTTTAAGTTAAGTCACATGTTTACAGAAAAAAATAATCCTGAAATAAGTTTGATTAAGTACAGTACTCTAGTAAATGCACTTTGTTACTGTATGTGTGTGTGTGTGTGTTGGGGGGGGGGGGGGGTCATGTCCCCATTTAGGGGGATACACGGGTTTCTGACATTGCGGGCGCTGAGTGGGTGGATCACGTGGATCGGACATGAAAAACCTCTTGCCTCTTGCGGAAAAGCAGCATTAAAGATTCACTCTGCTTTGGGAGTGAGCTCTTTCATCCTCTTCCAAATTTAATGTGGGACTAAGAATTCACTTCCAGCAATCTCCTTGCATCAACATGGGCTTAACACAATGCCATTCAAGTACAGCGGCACTCTGATGTGCTTCCTTGTATTGGTACTTGGTCTGAATAACCCATTCCTCAAATACCATAGAGAATCTGGTTACAAAGTAAGAAGATGGGATAGATAAGACTTGTGTAATATAAATTACCATAAATTACTGAAGCTGTTTAATGTAATGTAAGTCATGGATGAGACGATTTTCAACAGTGGTGTTGTCCCCTATTAGTTAAAACGTACCTATTTCTGAACGAATGACACAGAGCATTTTGTTTTCATTAATCTCTGACACAAAAGCTGCTCTTGAGACAGAATGGTACATGACATTTGTCACAGTACCTGCTGTTTTTATTACCTCAGGGGAGGAGAGCTCCTCATGCAATTCTGGGACTACAAAAATTCTGCCTAAAAACCTAACTAATATTGATCGCCAGCAAGTGTTTAGGACAGGTTTACTCAACAGACCATGACAATGCGCCTATAACTTAAATCCATTAGTGTTCTGCGAATTGTGCTCAGTTATATAACACTCACATGATGTCACATCCCTATCTGAATATGAATTTAATGAGTGTTGCGGCAAACACTTTGTGTGTGTTTCCATGCCTTTGCTGAAATGCAACAAATAATTAATCTCCAGTTGGCATGCAGTATTTCTGATAAGTGATGGTGATGTTAGTAAATAAGAGCAAAAACAACATGCAAATGACACTTGTAATATATGGTTTGAGTTTCTTCCAGCTGAACAAAGCTTAGTGGCATTTCAAGAGATGTAACAACTCAAGATATGAATTCACCATGATAAATGTTCAAATTCTGAATTACAAATTGAACCATACGGAAGTGGAGCTGAGATATAACTGACCACAACACTGAATAAACAGAGATAATCAAGAATCGCTTAACTAAGGCATACAGTCCAACACTGGCATTATTACAGGTATCAAGCCCAGCTATTCCACATTCAAACTGAGAGATACAAAGCATCAGTCCAAGATCGACACCTAGTGTTCACAGTATGAAAATGCAAAAGGCATCAACCTATCAGCTTTTATTGTGATGAGAGTGTATTATGCAGTTCCATTAGCTGAGCCAGCAATATGCCATAACACTATCAAACTATGTTTATTGCTAATGATTTTATGCCCACTGCATAACATGTAAACATCCACGCCATGATGCAGAGGGAACAGAGCAACCAGTTCAGTGCTGAAATGTTTTAACAGCATCTTGCATGTTCACAAGAATTTCCTAACATAATAATAATAATAATAATAATAATAATAACAAACTACCAGTCAAACGTTTTGGATTGGTAAAGATTTTTTAATGTTTTTTTTAAAAGAAGTCTCTCCTAGCCAAGGCTACATTTATTTCATTAAAAAAAAAAAAAAAAAAACAGTGATATTGTGAAATTGTTATACTTTAAAACGGCTGTTTTCTACATGAATATGTAGTAAAGTGTTATTTATTCCTGTGATCAAAGCTGAATTTTCATCATCTAGTCTTCAGTGTCATGATCCTTCAGAAATTATTCTAATATGATGATTTGATACTCAATAAACATTTCTCGTTATTATCATGTTGAAAACAGTTATTTACATTTTTATTTCAGGATTCTTTGATGAATAGAAGTTCAAAAGAACAGCATTTATCTGAAATCAAAAGCTTGTTTAACATTAAACACTACTGTTCAAAAGTTTGGGGTAAGTAATAATTTTTATTTTAAATTTTGGGGGAAAGAAATAAAAAATATCAATAATTTTATTCGTCAAGTTACAGTACAGAAAGTTACATATTTCAGATATTCTATTTCAAATAAATGCTGTTCTTTACAACCATCAAAGATTCCTGAAAAAACTGCTACTCAACTGTTTTTAACATTGATAATAATAATGAAATTTTTTTGAGCATCAAATCATCATTTTAGAATAATTTCTGAAGGATCATGTGACACTAAAGACAGCAATGATGATGAAAATTCAGCTTGTATCAACCGACTGCTTCAAACAATTCAGGATTTAAAAATAGTTGTTATACTGATAGTACTCTGAACTTACTTAATTTGAGTCCACTGAATTTATATAGCTTAATATAAAACTGCAAACGACCAAAAATAGTGTAAAATCAATACAGAATTAATTAAAAATATGACTTTAACTAAGTTCTATGCAGTTTGTATTTAGCAAACAATAGCACACATGTATGTGCTAATGTAAGGAGACTGTCACTGCATTGTTACTGCATTACTTTAAATAAAGCAACAGGCAGCATAACATTAGTGTTTCTCTGCTCATCTTTGACTGAAGCACAGGCTCCACTCTACAGTACAATGGTGACCCACAAAACTCATTAATTAAACTAACAGGTCTCACCTATATCATCTTATGCAAAAACACATAAACACTTCAGTTTAATATTTGCTCTCCTTATCAGTTATTGACTTCGCATAACTTTTTTCATAGAAATTAACTTCTTTCGTTTAGTAAATCTGACTGATAGTACATTTGACAATATATTACTGTTTTTCTTTGATTTTATGGTAATCTATTTGGCAGCTGTTTTATTTACACAGTTGATTACTGTTAAAATACGCTTCTCTCTGTTTTTTTTTTTTTGACACATTTAACCCTTTTAACCCCACTGCAAAACTTTCTGTTTTAAATAAACACTTGTGTGTCCACACTACAGAGTGTTGGAGTAACACTGAAGCAGCATTGAAGTTAATTATATAATTTAGTGATTAATTAACTGAAGACTGAGCATTAGTGATGAACACCTGATGTTAACAAGCAGAATCACTGAAGGACAAAGGAACAATAAGAAGATAAAAAAGTGAAACACAAGAACTACAACTGACTTTAGTCACAGAAAACATAAAGACCCTGTCCACACAGAGACGCGTTTAGCTGTATACGTAAAAATTTTGTATTATATTGGCGTTTCGTTCAGACGGATCTGCCGTTTTGGGACACCCTTGTGTGTGCGGCCAATAGATCCATTTTGTGAAATGATGATGTCATCACACCACGTGTCAGCATTAGTCACACACTGCTACGTCACACGTAACAGCAACAACAATGACTTAGCAACAACACAGACTTGATGTCTGTGTGTGTTTGGCTGATCTAGAAGTTCTGCATAAAGTTTTTCAGATTTTCTGGTTGTCTAAACTCCAATAGATCTCAATCTGTAAAATCAAAGTGATGGCATAATCAAAAATACTATGAGTCTAATGAGACAACACAATAATGACACCATAATAACGAGTCTAATGAGACAACACAAGAGATCAGTGAATGGGGCCACTATAGATGATTGTCATATGATTGACTAGATTGTCAATGGTGTAGCAATGTATGAAGCACAGCTCTCATCAGCTTTCTGTTGGTCAAAGAAAGGGAATCCCCCTGACCGGTTTGAACCCGTTGCGAAATCTGAGGAAATTTTCCGTCCTCGCGCGAAATTCAGATCACGTGGATTCCTATTGAAATGACTAGATTTCGCCTGTGAACATTCGCTGAACTGTGATGTGACCACATCTTAATATAGGCACAGAAAAACGATACTTTATGTTAATGCTGTAATCTTCTCAAATATGTTTAGACACTCATCTAGACCGGACTTCATATGTTAAACTGCTGCTTCTTTAAATGTTCTGTACTGTGCGTGCTTTTTTTTTTTGGTCAGGGCAGTGCCTTAGATATGTAACATACTATCTGTCACGAATCGCGCCTCTGTGGCTCTCTCCGCTCAACCCAGAGCTCCGTCTCCTGAGTATTGAACTTCATTACCCATAAGCCCCGTACCTAGGTCTAATCACCGTCACAGGTGTTCCTCATTTCACCTCTCCATATAAACAGCCCTCAGACTCTCTATCAGTGCGAAGTCTTGTTTTGCCCGGCGACATTTCTGAGCGTTTCTACTGTTATCTGGATTTCCTGTTTATTGACCCGTGACTGTTCTAGGACTCAGATTCTCTGTTTGCTGCCTGCCCTGACCCTTGCCTGTTATCTCTGGATTCTGATTATTGCCGCCTGTCCTGACATCTGCCTGGTATCGTTTATGCTC